TTAAGTATTATTATTACTACAGTTACTATTATTACTATTGTCACTGCTCATTGTCCCCCATCGTTGTTGTCGTCTGTCTGTCTGTCTGTCTCTCTCTCTCTTGATTCTCTGATTGATTGATCTGAAGAACTGAGGAGGTAAATCAATTATTTCACAAGAAAAAGAAAAATAATTATAATTAAAAAGTTTATTTATATCATCTCATGAATCTTCTATGCTCAATATATGCAGTATAAATATGCTGTATTAATACACAGTAGAGAACTGGGACACAACTTTAATACAAGGCGTTGAACTTATGGTGTTAACTCTCCACAGACTTCACTGAGGGACTATTCCTTGAGCAGAAAGTAGTTCCTATGAAAAGAGCACAAATTAAACTATTCTCCTCCAAGGTAACAGAGATTGAGTCAAACTGAAGGAAACAGCTGATAAATACCTTCCACAAACAATCAGTCATTAAAAAACAACAGACGGTCAAACTACAAACAATATTTATCATCAGGTCTTCACAGAGTTTTGGTTTTAAATATTAAAAATAAATCACGTCTCTGTTTATCCTGGGTGGATGGATACACAGAAATAGTTCCAGGGGGCATTCAGGTGAAGGAACACAACCTTCTGTTTCCAGTCCAGATGCAGAATTGTCCAATCCAAAACAGAAAATAAATGTCTACATTAAACAAATGTAAAGAACTGTATCAGACTGCATCATATCCAGTTGCTCCATATTAAAATGTCCTTGAACCGTATCGTAGCACAGTAATGTATCTGGGTATTGGATCGTCCTGAAAGGTACAGAATCACACCCCTATAAGCTAAGCTAACCACTTTATTGAACACACAGAACATCAGGTTTCCAGTCTTTATGTTGAGCTAAGCTAACCACTGTAGTGAACATCAGAGAGAATCAGAGGATCAGAGGGAACATTTAGGTGTTATTAAAGCTCTCAGTCCACGGGAACACGGTCTTCTGTTTCCTGCGTTTGCTGCTGGACTCAAAGCTCCGGAAGTCGTCTCCACAGTGGTGTTTCTTGAGCTGCCGGGAGTCGGAGAATCCGCGGCCGCAACGCTCGCAGGCGTACAGCTTCACCCCTGTGTGGATCTGCATGTGAGACTTGAGCTGGTTGGACTGGCGGAACTTCCTGCTGCACACGGTGCACTCGTAGGGCTTCTCCCCGGTGTGGACCAGCAGGTGGCGGTGGAAGTTCTGCGGAGTCCGGAACTCCTTCCCGCATTGTTCGCACTTGTGCGGTTTGACTCCGGTGTGCAGGAGCTCGTGCTGCTTCAGCTGCGACATGAGCAGGAAGCCCTTCTGGCAGACAGTGCAGACGTAGGGCCTGTCCCCGCTATGCTGCCTCAGGTGGTACAGGTACAGGTGTCGCAGGTGGAAGGACTTCCCGCAGGTGTCGCAGGTGAACTCTTTGTTTTCGGCGTGGCTCTTCTCGTGTGTGCGCAGTGTGCTGTTGCTGCTGAAGCTCTTGAGACAGATCTTACAGCTGAAGGCCTTAACCCCAGTTGGCCTGCGTCTGCCCGGCACGCCTCGGACCCTGTCCTGGTTGTGGTGGACCAGCTGCTGGTGTTTCTGCAGCTGACAGTTGTAGAAAAACGTCTTACCGCACAGGTCGCACATGAACGGCTTCTCAACGCCGTGAACCAGCATGTGGGTCTTCAAAGCCCAGGTTCCTGTGAACCCCTCTCCACACTGATCACACCTGAGACAAGAACATAGAGCATGTTAAACTGGAGACGCACCAGTAAGCAGTGTGTGAACTATTCCATGGATTTATTTTCTAAACTGAAGGTAATGATATTGTGCAGCCATGCTTCAATGGTTGATGGCAAAGAATAGCAGCAATCTTTATTAAAGTGAACCACCCTTATGCACAAATTATACATCAGTAAGTAGTATGGATAAGTTTTTTTTTTGCTATCGATCTTCATCAGTTAACTTCAATAATTTCTACATCAAAACCATCAACCTGTCTGTTAGACACCATCCCAAACTAGGCTGCTTAAAGAAGTCGTACCCTTAATTGGCACTTCTTTACTAGATATGATTAATCTTTCTTTATTATCAGGATATGTACCACA